TAAAAAAAAAAACATTTTTTTTTTTTTATATGTAAAAAAAAATTTTTTTGTTTTATGTTCGTGTTGTTTTAAAAATGAGCAAAAGTAATGCAACACATAATTTTAAATAAAGCTCATGCTCATAAAAAATCTACTTTATTAATATATTCTAAGATTTTTTTATGTGAATACTATACTATTTACAAATAAAATAAAATAAAAAATAAAAGGATACACCCAGAATTGCGGGAAATAATGCGATCTAAGTAAAAAGTTTTTTTTGTTGCACTACTTATGATCGCCAGTGTATAACTTAGGCAGAGGTGTAACTGGGGCAAAATTTAACTAATTTATTATATTTATTCTGCTAAACAGTGGTATAACTTAGTGGATATATAACTGAGGTTTGACTATATTTTGTAATCTCGAATACAATTGAATTTTTCAAATAGTAATTTTTATTAAAAGGTCGATTGAGGGGTATAAAGAATGATATTAAAGATTTCATAAATAACTTGCCTTTGAAATAAAATAATATTGCTTAATAATTTTTAAAAAAGATTGATATTCATCTATCATTCTTTAATATTATTCTTTAATTTCTCTCTTAATAATCTTTTTAGAATTTTACCAGCTTCAGATTTTGGAATTATATCAATAAACAATATACCACCTCTCAATTTTTTATACGGCGCAACCTTTTCATCTACAAATGATTGAATTTCTTCTGCTAAAGCTTGAGACTTATCATAGCCATTTCTAATTGTAACATATGCTATAGGAATTTCGGTTTCTTCTTCTTCAGAATTATATCCGATTACTGCTGCATCTGATACAGAATCATGTGTGAGTAGAATCGATTCCAGTTCAGAAGGTATTATATAAAAATTCTGTAACGTTTAATTTTGGTGTTAATCAAATCTAACCACATAATAATATGTAAAAATGATAATTATTACAATCTTACTTTGTATTTGATTAACTCTTTTTTTCGATCAAGAATAAAGTAGTTTCCTTTATAAAAAACAAATTGTAATTATGTAAACATATTAATATAAAATTTATTCAATTATAAAATATACCTTGTTCATCAATAGATACAATGTCTCCTGTGTTAATAAATCCTTCTTTGTCGATAATTGCATCTGTAGCTTCTTTATTATTAAGATAACCCTATTGAAAAAATATAAGATTTTTAATACAAGTAGCATAATTATATAAATATAGTATTGTAATTATGTTACGTACTTTCATGACATTTGGACCGTGAACCCACAATTCCCCAGGTTCATTGTATCCCAATTCTAAAATGTAAAATGATAATTGGATTTTGAATTAGGAATAAATGGCGCATACGGAGTCTCTAAAATCCACATATACTATTAATTATCAATTCTAACCCTAA